ATCCCAGGCATTATAGTATATCAATTGTTCCTTATCTTTTAATTTCATTGTTAGTCTGTCCATCTCTGTACAGTCTAAATTTTTTTTTATAACAGCACCCTCTGTGGCAGAGACTTCTACCAACCACACGAACTCAATCATGCAGTTTCTTGGCAGTTCTTTAGTAAGTGCTTGATGGTTAGCAGTAGCCTAATATTTGAGGGACTGCCACAAAGAAGAGGGGGGTCAATTTATTTTTCAAAGCACCAGAAGGCAGGACAAGAAACAATGGGTGGAAACTAATCAAGGAGAGAAGCAACCTGGAATTAAGAAAAAACTTCCTAACAGTGAGGACAATTAACCAGAAGAACAGCTTGTGGGTGCTTCATCACTGGAAGGTTTTAAGAAGAGACTGGACAGTCGCTTGTCCGAAATGGTATAGGGTCTCCGTTTGAGCAAGGGGTTGGAGTAGATGACCTTCAAGGTCCCTTCCAGCTCTATTCTGATTAGTCATTACAACTTATGACCCCACAGTTGAGCCCAAAATTTCTGTTGCTAAGTCTGCAACCATCATAACTACTAGCCAGTTGCCAAGTTGCCCATGGGGACGCCACAAGGTCATAAGTGTGAAAAATGGTCATAAGTCACTTTTTTTAGTGCCGTTGTAACTTTGAACGGCTACTAAATGAATCATTCCAAGTTGAGAACTACCTGTATTTTCTTTCAGAATATTTTTTTTTAATCTTCACAATCTTAGCACAGTTGAGAAAGTCCAGAAATATTTCACAAGAAGAGTTCTCCACTCCTCTACTCGTTGTAGAATACCTTATGCCAGACTTGAAATTCTAGACCTAGAAAACCTTTAATTACGCCGTCTTCGGTCTGATCTGAGTATGGTATATAAAATCATACATTGCAATGACTTACCTGTCAGTGAATACTTCAGCTTCAACCACAACAACACAAGAGCACACAATAGATACAAACTCAAGGTAAACTGCACCAAACTTGATTGCAGGAAATACAACTTTAGCAACAGATACGGGATGTGGTCAATGTCTGGAATACTCTACCTGACTCTGTGGTTTCTTCCCCAAACCCCCAAACCTTTAACCTTAGACTGTCTACTATTGACCTCACCCCTTTCCTAAGAGGTCTGTAGGGGGCGTGCATAAGCGCACCAACGTGCCTACCATCCCTGTCCTATTGTTTCTTTTATTTTTCTTATATGTACCCATTTCATGTATTCATAACTATGTATATACCTATACCTATTATCTTGTAAGCGATTGACAAATCAAAATAAATAAATAAATAAAATCTGATTGACAGTCTTGGGATTTCCTGGTAGTTTTCCATCTAGGCACTAATCAGGCTTAACCCTCAAGACCATCAAGGTCGGCAGATCCGTGGTGGCGCAGTGGTTAGAATGCAGTACTGCAGGCGACTTCTGCTGACTGCCAATTTGGCAGTTTGATCCTCACCAGGCTCAAGGTTGACTCAGCCTTCCAAGGTTGGTAAAATGGGGCCCAGATTGTTGGGGGCAATAGGCTAACTCTAAACTGCTTAGAGAGGGCTGTAAAGCATTCGGAAGCGGTATATAAGTCTAAGGGCTATTGCTAATTGTTAGCCTCCATGACTTATGTGGAGACTCACCAACATTATAGTTCAAGTCAACTTGAGAACTTAAGGAGTTGGAGAAGCCAGGCAAACCTGTGAATTGCTGCTAAAATTAGTCCTTTTTCTTCTCAGTAGCATGGGAGAAAATTCATTTCACTTGGTTTCTACAATTTAGAGGTTGCCCAACTCCACACAGCTCCATGTACTCACAATTCTAAAATAAGACAACAATGGCAGGGGAAAACCAGATCATATGCATACAGAAGGAAACCACACATTGTAAACAAAATGTCCCATGGTGGCTCGACAATTACTGTACTCCCAGATCTGGGAAAATAGCCAAGTTTTTACACGGCTTTTCAAATATCAGGGTGGAAGTCAAACAAATCTATTCCAGAGGGCAGAAATTGCAACAGAGAAAGCAGGCTTCCTCTGTCAGGATAGGTGACATTTTGTTAATTATTATTTAATCTTAAAATAGATTAAAAATTTGTAGATATTGTACTCTCAAATTGCAAATGGAGACGTGGGTACTCTTATCTTTCTTATCTTCATTTTTAAGTGCTTCGGTTTTATTGTATTGCGAACAGTTGCTGGGGTGCATCCACAGTTTCGTTGTACTTGTACAATGACAATAAAGTTCTTCTAATTCTAAAATAGTTGCCTTCAAAAGCAAAGCAGGCTGGGTAGTTTGATAATTTCAGTCTGCTGATGGGCAATATCATAACAATATAATCTATGCACTGTATTGTGATAAGCTGAAGCCAGTTTTTTTGTAAATCTATAGTAAATAATTATGACTTGCATTAGAATCCATTTTGGAAAGTTTTAGGGAACATTTTGAGCCTGCATGTTGTCTCTCTAACTTAAGCTCTGTGGACTACCGCTTACAGAATTCCCTAGCCACACTCCCACTCCCTGTCAGCTGTTCGACTCCGACAGTGCATGACAGAACTGCTCTTTACATATTTATCAGCGCCTCCTTATCAGCTAACCATAATTACCTTTGAAAAAGATAAGTGTGGTCATCCAACCTTGTATGGGAGACCACAAGAGACTGCAGATCTGTAAGCCAATTGGGAAGTTGAAAGAAACATTTTGGAAGAAGATAATGGAAATGTACTTCCATATCATGCTGAGAAAACTGCAGGGACATAACCACAGTCAGAGTTGAGATTAATCTAAGGGAAACTTGACTGCTTTTTTATTAGGGCCACACAGGAGAACTGACCATTAGGAAGGAAGGAAGGAAGGAAGGAGGGAGCAAGCAAGCAAGCATTGTTTCCTAATTGTTTCCTAAAGACTAAAATAGAGTTCACGCATGAACAAACATATTTCTTTTCTTTTTAAATAATTTTTATTACACTTCTTCACATTTAAAAAACAACGCATATGACAACAACACATATAAAAACAACACATATACCATCTTCACAGTGGTGTGACATCAACTAGTCCAATAAAATCAATATATACATATTTACATTATTTCTTATTCCTACAGTCTAACCAATTATACCACTTTTCCCAGACCGTATAGTATTTCATGTCTTCTCTATCTTGCAATTCTAGTGTGAGTTTGACCATTTCTGCGCAATCCATTATTTTCTTTATTATCACACTATCTGTGGGAATGTTATCTAGTTTCCAACTTTGTGCGTAGGTTATTCTTGCCGCTGTTAGTACACGTATTATGATATATTTCTTAAATATCCCTCTGATTATCCCTAAAAGAAACATTTCAGGCCTAAATTCTATTTGGAGACTGGTAATTTCTTGTAACCATTTCCTTATTTTGTTCCAGTATTATTATTATTATTTTTGCCTTAGGGCAGGACCACCACATGTGAAAGAAGGTACCTTGTTGAACAAACATATTTCTGTAAGGTTATCAGATCCACACATGGTAATTGGGAGTTAGAATCTGCAGACTGGATTCATCCTATTTAAGTGGGGCTGGGTTTGAAGGCATACATTTGTGAGGTTTCGTTTTGTTTTCTAAAATGTGTTAAGCCTTATTGTAGTGTTTGAACTACAGCATAGGTTTTTAATTTTTGTTTCTCATCATCAAATGATGGTACCATTGTTTTTAGTAACTGCATTTTTACAGATGCATAAAGAACATAGAAATTAGTAAGTATAAATGAGGACTATACAACAGGGGCCGCCAACCTTTTGGACCTCAGGGACCACCAAACCCATAATTTTAAATCCTGTGGACCAGAGACCCTGGGGAAATCCCCAAAAAAGTCTGCAGGAAAATCCCCCACCCCATTTATCTACTGATTGATTGTTCTTTATTTGGGATCGCAGGATACCGTCTCCAGCTCCGTTCTCAGGGGGGAAGAGAGAGAGAGAGAGAGAGAGAAACTTTTGGCTTCATGCAAGGAAAGCAGCAGAAGTCTTTCTTTCTCTCCCCCAAACTTCACCAGAAATGAGTCTTTTCCAGTGCAGCCTCTTGGAGCAGGAAGCCTTACAGGGTCCCAAAGACCCATTTCTGGCAGAGTTTGGGGGAGAGAAAGAAAGACTTGCTGCTTTCCTTGCGTGCAGCCAAAAGCAGAAGAAGAAAGAAGCAGCCTGGTGGTCAGGCCAGGGGTATGGGGCAAGTTTCCCCTCTGCCCTTTCCCCTCTCCCTTCACTACCTCGTGTTGTTCGCAATGCAATCAATGCAAGCCTTGTGTTCCCATGGGCCATGTGGGTGGTGCAACCTTGTGTTCCTGTGCAGCTGGATTAATTTCTTTAGGGGGGACATTTCTCTGCAGACCACCAAAATTTTCTTGTGGACCACCAGTGGTCCCCGGCCCACTGGTTGGCCACCACTGCTATACAACATTAATTGATTTATACCAGGGGGATACCCTTAGTTGATATCATAGACTAGAATCTACAACAAATTTTCTAAAACATTGGGCAAAAGATTTCATCATCTGCTAGCTGGCATTTCTTATACAGCTGGTCCTCATCTTATAACAGTTCACTTAGTGGCCATTCAAAGCTACAGCGGCACTGAAAAACGTGACTTATCACCATTTTTCACATTTATGACTGTTGCAGCATCCCCATGGTCACCTGATCAAAACTTAGATGCTTGGCAACTGTTTCATATTTATGACATTTGCAGTGTCCTGGGGTCATGTGATTCCTTTGTGCTTAAGACCTGTAGCCAGAAAGGTAGTAAAATGAGGCAAAATTCACTTAACAATGGTCTCACTTAGCAATGGAAATTTTGGGCTTAATTCTGGTCGTAAGTCAAGGACTACCTCTACACTATGTTTACATCTGGAAGGCATCTTTACAGCTGTAACATAAGAACAATAATGATTTGGAAACATCAGCCTTTGTTATGCTTTCTTCTCAAAGAGACTAAAATTATCCCCTGTTTCTCTTGTCTTTGTTTCCAGCATGGAGCCACCACGGCAAGACTTCCTCAAGTGCAGGACCCAAAGGTCACTGCCCCCATGATTCCAGATGATGGCACCAACCAGTTCTATGCTACGTACGACAACCACGAGTGCAAGAAATGTCCACCAGGTATCCCATTATCAGCTCCACCTGATCCTTCGTAATAAGAACCAGAGATAGGTAGGTAGGTAGGTAGGTAGGTAGGTAGGTAGGTAGGTAGAAGAACCCGGGGCATGGCAGAAAAGCAACACAGTCAAATAAGCAATAAGAGTCCCTTTATTATCTCCAACTTTGCCCCCAATGTCCAGGTTACCTTCAGCTGGAGAAAAACTCTCCCAGGAACAGCCTTTAACTGTAGAAAATTCAGTCCAAAACAAGGTACACACAAACTGTAACTTAAAATCCAAACAAACCAAACTGAAGTAATTAGCTTGACAGGGCAGGAGAAGGAATTTCAGACTGGAAAGCACGGCAAAACTCACACAGTTGGGAAGATGCCAGAAATACAGATAAGCCACGATGATACAAGATAAATTCATGTTTGCTCCCAACAACTTGCTGTGTGCAGCTTTTTTTATACACTGTGTTCCCAGCTGCAGCTAATGAAGGGAATCAGGGCCCTTTCCTCTCCCATAAGGCACGAAACCCATGTTGCTCTCTTCTCCGTTCCTCCTGATGTGCCCTAGGATGAAGAGGGGGTGGGGCTGGGTCTTCCTCTGAATTCCCTCTCCCTTGTTCTACCTCTTCCCTGCTCTGCCCAGATGGACTTTGCCCTTCCCCAGTTTCTTCCACAGCCAATGGAGCCACACTCCCACTCCCTGTCAGCTGTTCGGCTTCCTCCTCCAAGTCAGATTCCAACAGGGGCATGGATGGTAGGTAGGTAGGTAGGTAGGTAGGTAGGTAGGTGGATAGATAGATAGATAGATAGATAGATAGATAGATAGATAGATAGATAGATAGATAGA